GTGTTACTGTCAGGCATGTATGTCTCCAACAATGCCAAGAAATGGCGACAGCTGACCGGGAGTCCATACATGGTGGCTCGTATAGGTGCGTACAATCCACTGCTCTTCAAATTATCTTCCCAATGCCCCAAGACGTAGCTGGTCATGTGTGTCCACCATGCCTTGGGTTGTGAGAAAGCCCAACCATAGCATCTAAAATCTGGTGGAGGTAATCTCCTCCCAAGATGAGCCAGACGGTTCTTCACAGTAGGAGCGGCTGCTGATACCTCGCCTGGGGGTGCGGTATTAAGACCCATAATCCCTGGTCGAAGACCGCGAATGTAATGATACCCAATAGAACCAGGAGTCTTATGTTGGGATGTGTATCCACAATGAACTCGATCAGCATCATCGGTAAGATGCCAGGGCATCTGTCTCTCTATGGCCTGTCCCTCCAAATGAGTGAAAGAACACTGACGAGGAATGGAGGGAATATACAGGAGAGCTCCTTCATCAAGATTCAGCCAATGTTCCTCGGTAAGAATCAACTTAGCAGGATCCTCAATATGATCTCCGAACAGAAAACAGGGCTTCTTTAAAGCCTGAGTAGAAACGGAATCCGCAGTAAAAGAAGCATCCGTAATCAGCTGGCGTAAGCAATGACGCCCTCCATCCCGTATCAAACGACAAGATTCGTCGGAGCGATCTCTATCAAACTGGGGGAGTGGACCAATAGCCTGCCTGATGGAAGCCGAAGAGAAAACTTCCCCCCTACAACCAGTAGTGGCATGAGGATGGAGGCTGCCCGTGGGGAAATCGACTGCAACAAAGCAAGGATAGAGTCAGAAAATCATCCATGAATTAAATCCATCTCATAAAAAAGCGAGATAAGATCATTCACGGGGTAATTGGAAAGACGATTTTGAGTGTCCTACACTAGGAGAGCGGTATGCATCATCACGTAAATGACGTGGTAACATACACCGACCTATAAGGTGTAAAACGACACAAGATCGCCCCAATATACCGGAAAACTTGAATTGGCCAAGCAAAACAAGTCTGAAACCTCAACCCCCGTGAAGGAGGGTGTCGGCCCTTCCCGAATGACCCGTGAAGGGGCCAAACGAGGGTGTAACAGAACCACCAATATCCTGAAACCTCAATCCCCGCGAAGGAGGATGTCGGTTCTTCCTTAATGACCCGCGAAGGGATCAATCAGGGGTACAGAAATAAAGATTCTCACCCCTAAAAAGGATGCCGCTAGAGGGGAGGATGCTGTGGGAACTTCTCCCTCGCTATGCTGCGAACGGGAGCGACTCCTAGGAGGTCGAGGTCGACGTGGAGACATCGAAAATCTGCAATGAAAAAGCAGCAAGTCAGGTACAATCTAAATATGAATACACGAAATTTAAAAGGGAAATTAAGAACTTGAACTAAAGTCCTATGAATAAATAGGATTTTATAGTTGAAGTCTAATTAAACCTACAAATTTCGTGCATACAAAACAATGATTGTCATTTTGCGGTAAATTTTGGTGAAATACCCAAAATACCCCTCGTATTCAAGGCTAAATTCTGGTCAAGGATACACTCGAATTGGGGAATGGTCATCATATTTGTTCATCCAGCACCCCCCGACATCTCACAATTTTGGTTAATTTTGCAAATAAACCCTTTTTGTAAAAATTAGCCAATCTTGCAAAAAGACCCCTCCACAAATTTCGGTTTAGTTTCCGCATGCCTTTATCAAAGCTTTGGTCATGGGTTTGTGGTCTAAACTTTTGGAATTTCAGCCCTAAATTTTAGCCCTTTTGCAAATAAACCCCTCTTCAGCTCTTTTTGCAAATAAACCCCTCTACACTTTGTGGGTTGCTTTTTGCAAATAAACCCCTCAAACAAACATTGATTCTTTGCATACAAACACCTCTCAAAGTTTGGCCAAATGGGTATGGAATTCTAACCCCAAATTTCAGTCCATGTTTGCATAAGAAACCCCCAAATTTCAGTCCATTTTTGCACAAAAGCCCTTCAAATTCGGCCACATTGTTGATTTTACATAAAAACCCCCAAATCCTTGTGCATACACAACCCATCATCAAAGAGCCTATCTTTTAAACTCATGAGAACAAAAAGCTAGGATCTTGGCATATAATTTCATGTTATACTCCCATTATAAACATAAAGTTTCAATCTTTATCAAAAAATGAAAGAGTTTGTGAGAGGAAACTTACCCAAATCAAGTGGTCTCTCTTGAGCTCGAAGATGAAGAAGAAAAAATCCTAGCTTTGAGGGTAGAGGAATTTCGGCCAAGGGGGAGCACCAAAATCCGAAATTGTCTTGAGTTTAAGAGGGTTTAAAGAGAGGAGTTTTAATGGGTTTCTTAGAGGGAAACAATGGTGTATGCATAAAAGAAAGAAGAAGGAGTTTTGAAAATTTGGAAAGAGGAGGGAAAACAAAAGAGGAAATAACCAAAAGGAAAGTTCAAAAGGGGAAAAAGAATATTATGCAAAAGAGAGGAGAGAGACACAAGGGTGTCTCGGTTTTTGAACCGAGACACCCTAGGGTGTCTCGGCCAAGGTTGAGACACCCACGGGTGTCTCAGTCCTCGATTGATCCCCGTATGCTCACAAACGTCCTTTTCAAGCCCGAATTTGCCTATTTTTATCGGTTGTTGGATATTTCAACGAAATCCACACTAATCCACACCGAGCGATTCAAAGCCCTAGGGTCAACGGTTTGACGATTCGAAACCCTAAGGTCAACGCCGGTCAACGCGTAACCCTAGGTCAACGCCAGTCAACGCGTTGCGACCAAAAAGTCAACATTCGACGGTCGAAACCCTAGGGTCAACGCCGGTCAACGCGTAACCCTAGGTCAACACCAGTCAACGCGTTGCGAACAAAAAAGTCAACGTGCGATGTTCGAAACCTTAAGGTCAACGCCGGTCAACGCGTAACCCTAGGTCAACGCCAGTCAACGCGTTGCGACAAAAAGTCAACGTTCGATGTTCAAAACCCTAGGGTTAACGCCGGTCAACGCGTAACCCTAGGTCAACGCCAATCAACGTGTTGCGACAAAAAGTCAACGTTCGACGTTCGAAACCCTAGGGTCAACGCCGGTCAACGCATAACCCTAGGTCAACGCTAGTCAACGCGTTGCGACAAAAAGTCAACCTTCGACGTTCGA